AGATAGATAGATAGATAGATAGATAGATAGATAGATAGATAGATAGATAGAAAAAAATAATTATGGTAAAAGTTAATATCTTGCCTTCAAATATACATAAAACATTTTCAGTGAAATTAATGATTTTGTTTGTGTTGTTTATGTACTCTAGTATCTCACCAGTTAATAGAGTTATGATGACTTGTGATTTCACAGATTATAATTATTTAATTATATATTCTAAATTTTATGCCTAGTTGTATCCAAACAACCTGTAGTTTTAACAATTAGTTGAAGCATAAAAGAAAAGAAATAAAAGAAAATGGGTGAGGAAAGAAAACAAAAGTTTTAAAAAAGTACTGTGAAAATGTAATTGCTGAAATGCATGTCAAAGAAAGCAGTTGTGATGAAATTCTGAATACTCAGATATCATTAAGAATTTCTACATATAGTAAATAGGAACTATTGAACTAAAATACATTCCGAATATAAGTGACAAAACTGAACAACAGCACGTTATTGTCATGTGACTGGAAACATAAGATGTATTGTGAAATTTAATAACATTTAAAGATTTTAAATTCCAATCTACCTTTTTGTGGACACTTTAAACATTTTCCAGAGTGGATTGAGGTATCAAAAATAGCAAAGAAATTATTATTGCTTACAGAATTACAAAAGTTTTTCAATTTTCTTCATTTCATTTAGAATAATAGATCAGTCCAGCAGTACAGAAATTGCTTCTTTCCCAATCTACAAAGTGTTGTTCTGTGTCCGTGGGCAAAATGGGACTTTGGAATGTGACTGCTTTGCGTTTACTGAGAGTTACTCTGGAACTGAGGAGTTTCAAATTCATGTCTTCTCTTGTGAAATTAAAGAGGCAGTAAGTAGAAAGCATGTATTATTGTTTCAGAAAGCACTATTGAAATAATAGGTTATGGATGAGAAATGTCTGATTCACTAGACTGTTGCATCTCTGCAGAATGTGATCAAAGCTGCTGCTTCTTTTTTTTTAAAAAAAACCCACTTATATAAACCCCTTCTTATGTAATATAACTCTAGGCAGCTCACAACTATAATGAAAACCAAACAAGAGTAAACCAAAACCCATCATCTCAGCCAATACTCTCCAATATATCCACCAATATAATTCCTGAACTCCACCCTTGTCCTGTTTCAACTCTTGGGGAAAAAGAACACTAAAATGGGATTGTGCCAGAACTCAGGAGAAGGGTATTCTACATAACAAATATTTGTACAGAAAAGGCACACTTCCTATGCCCCACTGGGTCATAACTCTTGAGGGAATTGACCTAATAAGCACATCCATCCAGGGGTGGGATTCAAATTTTTGAACAACCGGTTCTGTGGGCATGGCTTAGTTGGTGGATGTGGCTTGGTGGTCATGTTATTGGCTGGGTGTGGCCAACTCAATATCAGTCACATCGAGGCACGCATCTCGCCTGGCATGACTGTGGGGATGCTGCAACAGTTGTAAGTGTGAAAAATGGTCATAAGTCACTTTTTTCAGTGCCATTGTAACTTTGAATGGTCATTCCACACAAGCAAAGTACCAGCAAAGGAGGGGAAAAAACTCCAGAGATGTTCCTGAGACAGGAAGTCTAGTCCTGCCAAGAATGTAATAAGAGTTAACAGAGAGGCAGTTTCTGTAAGCAACACCAGAATGTTTCCTTCCTGCCTTCCTTACAGGTTTAGGCCAGTAATTTCTTCTAACAACCGGTTCTCCGAACTGCTTAGAATGTTAACAGCCGGTTCTAGCGAATAGGTGCAAACCTGTAGAATCCCACCCCTGCATCCATCCTTTCTGACCTGGTGCTAGGGGCAGATGCCTGAGAGAGTGGCAATCCTACAAATAACTTGACATAAAGCCATATCGGACTTTAAACATGATAGCTAAAATCATGAATTGCACCTGGAAAGAAGCTGGGAGCCAGTGTAGCTCGTGTAAGATCAGTGTAGTTTGGTAAATGGGGGTGGAGCCAATATTGTGTGCGCTGCTGCATTCTGGACAGTGTAACTTTCAAGTGGTTTGCAAAGGCAGCCTCAGCTATATTACAATAATTCAACTGTGAGTGACCACGAACAAGACTTGCTGGTCCAGGAATGGGCACAGAAGATGGATCTGTGGACAGGTGCTCCTCCCCTCCCAGCATAGCAATCACCTCCTTCTTAAGCAGGAGTAACAACCCAAAAAGACCTAAGTTGCACCTCAGTTTGGGAAAGTACTACTCTGTTGAGAGTCAAAGATATCAACAGATTCAGGAGGATCAAACCCCCCAAACCACTCTATTTTGCTAGAGTTTCTAGGATTTTACTTTGAGATTTATTCAGAAAGTAGTTCTTGTTTATCTCTCTGTCAGTGATAGTGCTGCTTGCTTTCCAAAACATGCCCATTGTAACTACTAGGTGGGATTGCTCAAACAACACAATAATGTGAACTAAAGAGGGATTGGGAGAAGAGCGCTATTCTCAGGTAGAGATAGGATGACTGCATATCATTGTTTGCATCATTATTTGTTTTGTTATATTACTATATATTTCTTTCTCTACTTTCTCCTTCCTTTTCAGTTCTTTCAATTATGTAAACTAATTTACATATCTCTGGTTCCTCCCACCATGACCCTCACAACCTCCAGGTACTGGGTCAGCACTGAAACAGTATCACCTGTCTGGCCAGGGGTGGAAATGCATAACTATGTATCATCAGAGTACTGATGGTAATGCATCTGACACTATCAAGTGAACTCACCAGTGTTTTCATATAGATATTAAAGAGAAGTGCAGACCTGTCCCTTGAAGCACTCACATTGCAAGGGCCTAGAGTTAGACAACCCATTCACCCCTAACTTTAAGTAGAACTGACCACAGGGGAAAGAGGAAAATCACTATAAAACAGTGCCTCCCACTTCCAGTGGTGTCAAAAGTCACTGAAAGTTCCCAGAAGACCAAGCTGGTTGTACCACTAGCATCTAAAGTTCTCTAAATGCCATCTTAATACCATAATACAGTCTGATAATCCTCTTCATCCAAGGTCCTCTACAGTTGAACTCCCAAGTACATTCTCAACAACTTTCCCTATAAAGGGAAGATTGAAGACTGGATGAAAGTTATTGAACACTGTTGCATCCAAAGATGGCATCTTGAGAAAGCCCCCCCTGTAAGGTGCCACCCCCTCTCACAAAGATACTTTAATCATCACATGAACCCATCCACTTCTATTCCTCTCTTACCTTTTGTATCTCTGTTCCATCCATCATCTCTTTAGGGAACAGATGAAAGCAGAAATTTGCTTTAAATCTTCCATTTCTCTCAGAAAAAGCATTGGGCAAGCAAAGTTAATTCTTGGGACTTGGATGCCCAACTAGGAACACATTCAAGTACACAGCCAGTGCTTCACCTAAGGAGGGCATGCTCTGGATATATTACCAAGTAGATGCCATTTGTCCTGTAAAGTGACTCTTCAATGTTATCTGGCAAGAATTTAATCAATTACTTAATTTCTATGCATCTTTTATTATTTTATGGCTATAGTCTTCCATTATGTTTTAAAGGAATGCAAATAATGTTTACTTCAGTGTCTTTCAAAAACTGAGAATAAAACTTGAGTTTTATCATGTGATCTTAAAAATCTTCATTCAGAAGTTAAACTTACTGTTTTCACTGAGGATTTGAATGTATGATCTGTGGTTTTCCTGAACTACTAGTCACAAGGATCAATCAATTGCATTACAAATAAAAGTAGTAGAAACAATACTAATAATAAAAATGAAAATAGACAAAATAATATATTATGATTAGTGATGGATTATCAATGGGCACTTAGGGTCTGCCTAATTTTACATTCAGTATAGCAAAATTTGGGCACATTTAAAGAAATTACTTCCTACTAATTTGATAACAACAGTTGTACATAGAAGAGACCAGTATTGGCCGGAAATTTTATTAGGTAAAGTGTTATAATGTGAATTCTTATAGAAGGTACAGTATACCGTAGTATGGGTGTTGGCAACCTGCGGCTCCACAGCTGCATGTGACTCTTTCATCTCTCTGCTATGGCTCCCTGTCGCCTTGTCGTGGCAGAGGGATGAAAGAGCTGTTGCTCAGTCGTGGTGGCGGCAATGGCCAGAGCCTTAGTGCGGGAGCAAAGCGTCCCTACACTTGCTGAGACAGCATTCCGCCTTTGTCGCGGTGCATTGCTATTGATGCCTCCGTGGCCTGTCCATTTCTCTCACATCATCTTGCACAACACAGTGAAATTGAGCACACTTCATAATGGGGGAGACTGGGTCCCCTCCTTTTGGAGCTCATTACAACGCAGAGCATCATCGTTGGCTCATTCATGCCTCCCTGATGTCAGTTTTTCCTGCAGAGCCTCTAGTGTTGTGATGCCCCACCTCCCCTCCTGCCGGTTGTCTTCAGCTCTCTGCTGACCAGCTGATCGTTAGCAAGCTGTTCCTGGGCTCGTCGGCCTCCAGCCATCAGATTCCCACCACCCAGCACCAGTTCAGGGATTCCTGTCTCCCCACCAGGGGATAGAGGGAGGGGAAAGAGAGAGAGGCGGGAGGGGGGAGGGGGGGGAGAGAGAGGGAGGGAAAGAGAAAGAGAGAAAGAGAGGGGGGGAGGTTGAGAGACAAGAGACATAGATAGAAATAGACAGGGAAGGAAAGAAGGGGAAGAGAGGGGAGGAAAGAGAGAAAAAGAGGGGGGAAAAGGAGGAAGAGAGAAAGGGAGGAAAAGAGAGAGGGAAAGAGAAAGAGGGAAAGAAAGAGAGAAAAAAGAGACAGCCATTTTACTGGGTGGGAGTGAGTGATGTTGAGTTGGCCACGCCCACCAGGTTTTGTGGCTCCCGGTGTTTCTTTTCTGTGGGAAACGGGTCCAAATGGCTCTTTGAGTGTTTAAGGTTGCAGACCCTGGTATAGTAGGACATGAGCTGTAGTTTCAAAAACCACTTGTCTGCAGGGACACAATTTCAGCTCATATGGTATTTTTTTGTATCAGTTTTCCAAAACTGCTATGGGAAGAACACTGCAGCATACTAAAGTGAATGCCCTTCAAATTTCGCTGCTTTAAAAGGGGGGTCACAAAAATAATTTTGGCATTAGCTTTTATCAGCAATTACTATATGTTTCCTAAATTCAGATTACTATTCATGAATGTTTATGATAACAGTTTTCTTTTACTGACATGGATATGGTTTATTGTTCAGTTCACTATTAAGCCATTATCTATGCTGTGCTTGGCATCTTATATTTGATAAAATACATTTTGTTCTTTTAAGGTTCAAATATCGGATGACTTATTAAAGAACATCAAATTGTAAATTTGCAAATTAGTGTTTTCTCTGAAAATTAATAATATGTAAAATGTAAAATAATTACCTACATAAATGTTGTACATTTTGATTTTGCATTAGAAATGATTGGTTTCATTAAACTTTTTCTATTCTCCCTAATTATCTTTTATGCACTTGTCTGATCTTTTTATTTTTAGGTTAGCCGAATTTTGTATAGTTTTTCAACAGCATTCAAACGTTCCTCCAAACAGGCATCAGATAATGTGAAGGATACTATTGTTTCAAGTCCTGACAGTGATATATTCATGTTCACTGTTTCTTTAGAGGTCAAAGAAGATGATGGTAAAGGAAATTTCAGGTAAATGAAAAAAATGACAACATGGAGGGAAAAAAACCTAAATAATTTAAACCCATGAAAGTAAATTATTCTTGCCTATTTGTTCAGATTGCTTCATACCATCCTGTAAGGAATTCAAAATGCATATATTCACAACAGAATGCAAGGATTGATGAATAGTAAAGCAGTTTATCATAGTTCAGAAAATAGGTTATATATTCCCAAACTTTTAAGATTTGTAGAAACCAGGGGCAATGTTGGAATAGACAGTCTTTTTAATAGTGAGCTGCCTATAATATGTAAAAACATTTTATTTTGTGCCTTTGGTCTGATAATTTTGCAGTTCTTCGGTTTTAACGAGGTAGATGAACTTATTTTTATCAGAATTTTTATTAGAGTTTGCTGTTGAACAAATTATGATAGAATGTTATTCTTCTTTAGTCCAGTACCAAAAGACAGAGAGAAATTTTACTTCAAACTAAAGCAAGGCCTTGAGAAGAAGATTGTCATCACTATAAAGCAGATTTCCAACAAAGAATTAGCCATTGAAAGGTAATAATAGCTGCCACCCATTATTAATAATGCTTTGTACCATTTATAATATTATCAATGTCCAAAATAGTAATTTAAAAACAGGAAGGTGAGTGAATTTTGCACCAGTGTTTTATCATTTCTGTTGCTGACTTGTTAATGATCCCAATTGAAAGTGCTTACCGTGTATACTCAACATACACATAAGCCAACCTTTGAATTTTTAATAGAGATCCTGTGAAAAATGTGCTAACACCCCCAATAAGCTGAATCATAGGTTTTCATAGGTTTTAATTTCACAATTAGCTTATCTACAGATGACAGATTTTTCAAAGTTAAAAATTCAAGGCTCTGCTTATACAGAAAGATATATAGGTAAAAAGCTGAGGGGAAAAAACTATCACATATACTTACAGGGAAGCCTATTTGTGGATAAACTGGACACATTTTTGGGGATGAATTTTGGCACTAAAAATTATTGGCTTATCCTCAAGTATATCTTTAGTGCTCTAAACCAAGGATGTCAAGCACAAGGTCTGGCCTGTGATGTGATTGGATCTCCATCCTGGAAAATGTAAGGGGCCAGCCTGCGTCACTTTGGCCTGGTCTACCCAATGCGAAGAGGAAACATGCCAGCAATTTGGGGAGTGGCATCAAGCTGGTCACGCCCACCCAATCAGCCATGTCTCAGCCAGTCCACCAACAACCGCAGCCCTGATGCAGCCCTCAATGAAATTGGGTTTGATACCCCTGTTCTAAATTATAGACAGATACAATGGGGCAAAGATCAGTAGCTACCTTGCTTAGCAATGGAATTTTTGGACTCAGTTCTGGTCATAAGTTAAGGAGAAGCTGGAGTCTGAGTTCTATGAAGGATTGTTCACCTGCCTAAGCCTGCCTACCCTTGTTTGGCCCATACCAGGAAAGCTCAGTTCATAGGTCAACAGGAACAGGACATTTAGCCAAGGATCCCAAATGTGTGCAATTTTTTGAGCATCATCCCTTCAATATTTCTTCTTGAATATATTCTGAAGCTTTGTTTTATATCCTTTTTCTTGAAAAGTTTAATAGTAAGCATATGTTCTATTTACTCGTCCAGTCTTAATTTTGGATATCCCTAGCTTGCATTGTTTTAAAATTCAAACCACTGATTCCAAGCTGTCTTGTATAACTTTTGATGTAAAAGACATTGTAAAAATGTCTTCTATAAATAAAACCTCTGACCTTAGTGACTCCTAGGGCAAGGATAAAAAAATCATGAATTTTTATCTCTTCTACATACAGATTTTGTTTTCCAGCTTCTTGATAATACAGTACTAGTCATTGCATCATTTAAAGGGTATTAAATACAGAAATTAATAAGATTTTATCTGTTATGAAGATATCTTGGAATTCCTGTATTGATTCTTGTTTCTTATTAAATGTAACACTGTTATTTGAATTTTTAGTATTTGGATAGTAATAATGTCACTTAGATTGGTTCTTTTTTGGTTAACAATTTAGGTTTATATAGTTCACTGTAGTCATGATTGCTGAAATAGGCATAAGCAGTTTGGTTCACATAAAAGGCAAGCTATCAACTATGATTTACAAATCATAGTGGCTAAGTTCGTTTGTTAGTCTAAACCAAATTAAACAAATCACATGAAAGCTTAATGTGGAGTACCAAACTAGCATTTTCCTTCAGCAAGATGTTTTAATAGCTTTGCCCACCAATTTCTATTGTCTGTCCTTAATATTTGTTGTTGATTTATTATATTAATTATATTTTAAAGTGTTTGTGAGCTTTTAAAAATATCATAAGCTATCTTGAAATGTTTTGGAGTTGATAAGGTTGAAAGAAATACATTTTAGTATACAGCCTATTTATGAAAGTTTTACTAGCCAATATTGAGTTCTCTAAATATGATCCAACATTTCATCCAGCATTTATTAGAACATTTTTCATATTTTATAAAGAACTATGTATTAAAGATAGGTTTTTGATTTTAAAAAGGTTCCTTCTATTGTGGATAATTGTTCTAATGGCAGATTATATCATGGTTAAATTAATATACCTGAGATCTCTGACTTATTTTTTCACTGTTCTCCTTTTTGTAAAAATAGCTGGGTGATGTGTTCCTGAATCTGTTAGATTCTAGTGATGTTGAAGGCTTTCTCATGTTTTAAATTGTTTAGAGCTCATCCTAAAGCTGCCATTTTCAGTGTGGAAGATACCTTTTTTCTTTCAAGATGGAATCTTGAAATGGAAAAAGTTTGAATTTGCTTTTTTGTAAAATAAAATAAAATTTGAATAAAATTGCTTTATTATTAAGCAAATAAAAAGCTATCTGAAAATTGTGGATCCTAATTCATGTCTACTAAAAAAACATTTTAAAAGCAACAGAAATGTTGCTTTTAAAAACCATCTCCTGTAGATGGCAGCCTTTCCATAAGATTTGAAATTAATTTTAGTTTCATATTAGGTTCTTACTGCTTTTCTCTTAATTTTTTCAACAATGCTGTACTCAGAAAACCTATTTTATAGATGATTGTCATAGTTGTTTATGCATAAATCTGGATTATTAACAGTGTATTTTTTAAGGTCAGGTTTGTCTGCACCCACACTCATGTTGTATAAAAATTAACATTCAGTGATAGTTATAAATTTTAAGTTGGTTAATTTTTCCTTAGTTTTTTTCCCCTATTGCTGTGGGGAAGTTCTGCACAAACACAATCTGCAAAAAAAACCATAGAGATAAATTTTTGTGGTTCCTTTGCTAGGAAACTATTATTTTAACTTCTCACTCTTCCTTCTTGAACAATAACCTCAATAGCCTAGTTATTAATGTCATTGTATTTAACTGTAACTCACTCACCCTGACTTAATAGATAGTCCTTGCTTAATGATTAATTGGGATCAATAACTCTGCTGCTAAGGAAAGTGACAGCTTATTCTCTTGCAATCAATTCCTTCTTCTCCAATCTCTCCACTCTGGAGGTGGGGAGGAATGGTCAGACAAAGGAGAGATTGTCTACAGAAATTACATGCCCCTTTTCTCCCCAATGTTGGGAAGTATTCAGTCTAGCAGGGAGAAGGGATGAAGCATGGTACAAGTCTAGAGTCACCGCACAACTATAGAAGAGCCACAGCTGGTCCTCCCTGACTTCCTTGGGATCTTGTCTAGTTGTTCCTAGAGGAGAGCTGCCAGACTGGGGAGATTCCTGTATTATTGGCAGAACATAATAAAATAGTTAACTCGAACTCTGACATCCCCACTTTAGAGTGGAGAGATTGGAGAAAGTGATTTCAAGAGAATAACTTGTTTGCATAGAGTGCCTGCTGCTGCCAATCTGGGCTGCCAGTGCAGTTGTGTTGCTTTCAGTGTGTAGAAGATAAAAGCTTTACTTTCTTGCAGCCCCTTCCTCTCCAATCTGTTTGCTTGGCAAAGGGGTGAAAAAAAAAAACAGGGCAGCCACAGGATAGTGCGCACTGACTATAAAGGCAATTATGTGAGTGAGGAAAACTGAGAAGTTTGCAAATGATCATAAATTGGCTGTAAAGTTATTTTTAAATATTGTCACAACTTCAAATAGTCACTAAACAAGTTGTCAGTAAATGAGGATCTTATGTACTAGTACTACTTCATTACAGTTTTTCTGAACTTTTATAGAAGGAAATCTTGTAAGAATATGGATTGTTTCTCTTTCTGTCCTGGAAGGTAAAATATTATTTTTCTACCTTCCGGCACCTATTTTGAAATTCTGTTTTGGTTAGCTGGTGGGATAGTAAGTAGACTAACTCACCTCTATCTTAAAAGCAGATTTTTTTTTGTAGAGGCAACAATTTTCATTTCATTTTGTTTCCTTTTGTTTCGTTTCATATGCCGAGAGCAAGAAAACAGCAGGAAAAGACAATATTTAAAACAACAAACATTAATCAAAACAGGAAATTTAAAAAATATTATGATCTGGAGTAGTTGCCAGAGAAATTAATGTCAGCTAAGCATCTCTTTATAATTAGTAATTATCTACCACCACTGGGAAGATCCTACTGCTGTCCACTAGATAAACTAGATCTATTGGTGTGGTCACAAGCTGGAATTTCCCAGCTGAGCTTAATTGAAATACTGAATATGCTGCAGTGGCAAATTTTTAAGCAAATTAGTCTTAAGATAGCTAAGCTTTCGATGTAGACAATGAACAATGAATAATGTTGCAATAGTAGCCATACTGTTTCATCAAACGACAGTAAAAACTCCATGATTTGGGATATTTGCAGGCTGAATGCATTCATCAGCAATTGCTGCTAGGCTTCATCTAACATTCAGGTCCAAAGTTAAGATGACTCCCTCAAGCTTTAAAAACAAACATAAGCCAATCTGTTTCTCAGTTGTAACAAGGTGCAAAGGCTCTTTACTTATTAGAGACCAGGAAAGGAAAAAAAAACCCTGAATGGACAAGGAAGGAAACAAATGACAAGTGCATGATGAAGTCATCATGTAAATGCTACAACTCGTCTTAGCTGTTGTGACATTAGTTCATATCACCTATCAGTAACATCAGAGTATTTGTTGTGTTTAAAGACCGTAATCCAAGGAAAACTGAAATATTATCTAGTGGTTTGAAGGGATTAACCCTCTGAAAATACAGTCCTTTGGGTAGTTTATACCAGTGAGTCCCAACCTTTTGGACACCAGGGACACTTCCATGGAGAAAGGTTTTCTGCAAACTAGAGGGGGCATGGTTTTGTGTGATGCCTGCATCCTGGGGATGGGGCTTCACTCATTTGATCAGACCAACTGCTGGCATGCTGTGAACTGGTACCAGTCCACACTCTGGTTTACACTATCCTTCATCAGTATATGCAGCTTGTATTAGGGGACCAGTTATGGAATATTCCAGAGCAAATGCAGAGCAAGAATAGCTGTCAGTGATCTGTCAGAAAATAAAATCCAAAATCAATATTGGCAGAAATAGGTAACCCCTCAGTACCCCAATTATGGTTTTACCATTGCCCAAAGATTGTAGTATTATTTCTAAAAAATTAAAATTGAATGTTTTAAGGGAAGTGATGGTTACATGTAGTCTTTTGATTCAACTGCAAAATGAACTTTGCATTTGCAGTTTTTGTTAGTTAAGTAAGTGGTAGAACTGTGCAGCGCTTTGGATTTAATATGGATGAAACCAATATAGATTAATTGTTATTTTTTTTATTTTATAAATAAAAAATAAACATTTTATGTTTTATTTTATTTATGAATTTATTGAATATTGTAATGTTTGTGTTCTGTGTTTATAATCTACCCAGAGTCACTGTTGATAAAATGGGCAGCGTATAAATTAAATAAATATATAATTAAAAATATAAATGCAGCATTTGCCTGCAGCTAATTAAAATAACTGTGTTGGTTTTCAGAACCATGTAGCTACAATGGAATCCTCCTCACAGCAGCTCCGTAATCCTAATACTAGATACAGTTGCTTTAAGAAGCTGCAAACAAGTACTGTATTTCTCTTTCTCCTTGTTTTGGAGCACCGCTTTTAGTAAAATCTTAGGCAGTATACAGCCCTAATGCATTGTTTTCATTTGTCGTCTTTCCATTGTAATCAAAGATACTTAATAGATGTGGTCTGACTGTGCTGGGATTTTCTTCTAATTGCTACATTTCTCTTTTGCTAAAGAAGCTCTTACTATCCTTCAGAGTATTATTTCAGTAATGTTCTGCTGCATTCTGAATCTTAGAAGGACTCTTGGAAACATAGAGTTTTTTTGCTAGCTTTGTATTTAACTAGCATTTACTGGCCTAAATATTTGTTGTGTATTCTACTTGCCTGCAAACCAGAATGGAACCTCAGAGTAAGTTTGACTTCTGAATTTCTTTCCAACAAGATTAATTACTAGATAAAGCCAATCAGGTGAATTATTCTACTTTTTCCTACCCATGGTATTGTCAGCATCAGTGACAACTGATTAGATTTTACTGTTCCAAACATTTTGTGTATTCCTCAAGCTAAAGTCACTCAAATGACTGTCTTGATAGGACCTGGATTAGACTGTTTTTCCCTATTTAAATTGAAAATTATACTCTGTAATATCATTATACAATTAAGTGTTTTAAACTTGACTTTTTCTTGTGTTCCCTAATCCTGATTGCAGGTGCTTTGGAATGCTGCTAAGTCCAGGTCGAAATGTCAAAAACAGTGACATGCACTTACTGGATATGGTAATAATTCTCTAGTGTAACTGGCAAAAGCCTATGTGCTAATATTCATTTTGGGTTTAATGACTGTCAAAAAAAATCCATTGTTCTCACCCCAAATATAGCCTTCTGGAATCAGAATTGGAAATGCTTTTGTTTCTTTTCTCATGAAGGCAATAAATGGTTAAGCTTCTAGAATATTTTTCAGCAGTAACTGTGTAGTTGCCTCATTAATTGCTGATTGCTGGATTCCATATTTGTTTATTTATCAAATGTATATCAGCCTCAGTGGTGCAGTGGTTAGCGTGCAGTACTGCAGGCTACTTCTGCTAACTGTCAGCTGCCTACAATTTGGCAGTTCACATCCCACCAGGCTCAAGGTTGATCAGCTTTTCATCCTTCTGAGGTCGGTACAATGATTGTTGGGGGCAATAGGCTGACTCTGTAAACCAGGGGTCGCCAACCTTTTGGACCTCAGGCACCACCAAACTCATAATTTTAAATCCTGGAGACCACTAATATGAATTTTTACTGGCAGTATCTTGCTGACGTTGGTGGGAGAGAGAGAGAGGGAGAGGGAGGGAGGGAGGGAGAGAGAGAGAGAGAGAGAGAGAGAGAGATCTGATCTAACCCTTCCCTCCCTCCCTCTCTCTCTCTCCCCCCCCCCAT